AAAGGTGATGAGTGGTGCATTCATTGGATGGCTTGGAAGAAGATGTGCCAACCCAAAAAAGGAAGGTGGAAACAGGCCTATGAGATATTTATGCTTTCAACCTCATCATATTAGCTAAACAAAGTTGGAAAAATTTAGACTACCCAGATTCCTTATTTGCATGAGTTTTAAAAGCTTCATACTTTCCCAATTGGCATTTCCCCGAAGCAATGCAAGGCCGCTCTCTCTAAAGTGCATGACAAAACATTATCAAAAGAAGGGTAGTGTTATTGAGGTGTTTGAACTGGAGAGTTGGTAAGATAGAAGATATTCGAATTTACAAAGACAGATGGCTAAACGTGGAGGGGGTAGGACTTAGTGGCGGGATTATGTGATGAATGTGATTTGGAAGGCAAAGTGAGTTCTCTTGTAGATCAACAGACGGGGTGTGAACCAAGAAATTATGTGGAGTATTTTTGGGTTTTTATTTGTTGCATTGCTCTGATAGAATTTTTTGGGTTAAAATCGTATATCATGTCACTGGAGAAATAGTTGAAGACAATATAAGGCAATTAGAAATAGTAAACCAAAATCATAAGGGCATTTGGTAGAGAATTTGTCTATATCGAATTCCAAACAAAGTCAAAGCCTTTAGATGGCAATTATATAATGAGATCCTCTGTACAAAAGTAGGCCTATATCGAAGAGGGATTGTGGAATCTAGTATAGATAGAGCGCGTTATAAAGAGGTTGAAAACGAAGCTCATATGTTCGAGAGTGTTCATGGGCAAAGAGCATGTAGCAAGCAACTATGTGGCAAGATTGTGTGGAAATGGACATGAGTGGAACTATCAGAGAAATACGTTGTAAATGGCTTTTAGGACAAACAAAAGAAGATTTTGAGATGTTATTGGTTATTGCATAGCACATTTGGCATAATAAAAATTTAATTGTGCATAATCAGGAGGGTCTAAGACAAAGAGATGTCAATCCATATGCATCGAAATATCTTGATGAGTTTAAGGAAGCCAATGGTTGGAATATTTCAACAAGAGCGAGAGGGAACAACATGGTTGTTGGAATACTCTGATAGAAGGATGGGTAAAAATAAATTATAATGGTGGATGGAATCTTGCAACTAAGTTATCAACGAGTGGTGTTGTCATTTGAGATCACACAAGCTGCATACTTAGCGCGAGAAGCTTTTGCCAACGCCTTGCATGCTTCGTGTTAATGGTAGAGCTAGTAGCGATTAAGCATAAGATACTTCTTGCTTGTCAAGAAGGTTATCAAGAGTGATGATAGAGTTGGACTCCGAGCAAGCAGTGAGAATTATAACCAAAAAAAAATATTTCTACATGCTTTCTAATTTAATAAAGGATATTTGGACAGTTGCCTTTTCTAATAGAGAGTGTTTATTTTCTTTTGTAAAGAAGGAGAGGAATCATGTTGCTCACTTTCTGACATCTATATTGCATTATTGTAACAAGATATGGGTGCATGAAACATAATTGCTATGGTTGAGGTCGTAAGACATAATCTCATGAATTAATAAAATTTTATTTTCTTATTATTAATAAACCAAAAAAAACATGGAAATCTTGTGTCAAGGCCCCAAATGAGTGATTTATTTGCCCTAGCCTCTTGTAGCTTCATCTTTATGTATAAACCCAAAATACAAGGCAATAATGTGTTTTAGCCCTTCTTCCCTACCAACTAAGCAGAGAGAGAGAGAGAGAGAGAGAGAGAGAGAGAGAGAGAGAGAGAGAGAGAGAGAGAGAATAAATCGTGAAAAAGCCTTTATTTCCTCCTCTCTCTTCTCTGCTAATCCTAATCTTCATGGCTACTCCTCCCTCCTCAACTCTCCTCCTCTCTCCTAACCTTAATCTTCCTCCTCTCTCCCTCTTCCTCCTCTTTACGAGAGAGAGAGAGAGAGAGAGAGAGAGAGAGAGAATAAATCGTGAAAAAGCCTTTATTTCCTCCTCTCTCTTCTCTGCTAATCCTAATCTTCATGGCTACTCCTCCCTCCTCAACTCTCCTCCTCTCTCCTAACCTTAATCTTCCTCCTCTCTCCCTCTTCCTCCTCTTTACATCTTACTTCGACATCCCCTTCTCCCGCCTCTTTCTTTACCACCATCGACCTCGAGTGCACCCTCTGACCATGCCATCTCCCTCTCTCACCTCCCCCTCTGCCACCACTGACCTTGGGTGCATGTTTCGGCCATGCTGTCTCCTTCTTCCACCTCCCCCTCCACTACCACCAACCTCGAGCTCACTCTTCGTCCTTGCAGTCTCCCTCTCTCGCCTCCCTCTCCGCCACTACTGACCTCGAGCACATCCTTAACAAGTTTGCCTTTGATGTCTATGATAAGATCTCCTTCTCCGATATCTCCACCAAGAAGATGATGTTCTTTCCTCAGCTCAAGAATCTGGTGCAAGAGATGTTCTCTATAGATTTCTCCCAACTCATCTCTACAGCTTACATTTCAAAAGTCCAGGATGTCTGTAATGGAACTGGATGACTTTGGATTAGTAAATTTGATAGAGGAGTAGACTATAAGGGACCCTAGATCGTGTATGGATCTTGAGTTGAGTGTTGGTTTTGATGCCCAGCAGATATTTAATGTATTGTTTACAAGATTAATATTTTATATGTGTTACTTTTTTAGTAATTTATACTTGGTATATTAGTTCCATAACTGGTTTTAAATAGTAAACATTGTTCCTTTAATTTTATATTCGAAAGAAGATTTTTGGCTTCCTTTGAGTTAATTGAAGAATACATTGAGTAATAAGACCAGACCATGAGATAGTTCTAGTTTCAAAATGCGCAAATTTCATGTTAAGTCTAAGTCCTTACCTGATAAGTTTAACTCATTTTTTGTAAAGCTTAAGTCATTTCGTATTAAGTCTAAGTTATATCCTATTTTGACTATATTATTGACTGTTAAGTTATATTGTATGTTATGAAGTTATAATATTTTGGGGGGAAAAGTAGACAAAGAAACCCTAGGAAAAAAAAGAGAAAGGAAATAGATGAAATGGCTTATAATATTGTTACCAACTACACTCCAGAGAACAGGGAAAATATATTCTTTTCTGAAATTAGGTAAAGTATATGCTTTCATGATTTTCCTGTTAAGGTAACCTTATTTCTTATTAAGGTTAAGTCATTTTCTGTTAAAGATACCACATTTCATGTTAAGGTAAATCATTTTCTGTGAAGTTTAGACAATTGTGTGTTAAGTCTAAATCCTTCCCTATGAATTTTAAGCCATTTCTTGTGAAATTTAAGTTATTTTATATTAAGTCTAAGTCATTTACTGTTATGGATGTGTTGTTACCTGTTAGGTTATGTTGTATGTTATAAAGTTGTGATTTTGTGTGAAGTGGACAAAGAAACCCTAGAAAATAGAAAACAAGAAAATAAATAAAATGGTATGTAATTGTTATCAACTACACCCTAGAAAATTGGGTAAATACATTCTTTCCTGAATTAGGTAAAGTATATGCTTTCATGATATTCTTATTAATGTTACCTTCTTCCTTTTTAATGTTAAGTCATTTCCTATTAAGGTTACCATATTTTAGGTTAAGTCATTTCCTGTTAAGGTTAAGTCATTTTTTGTTAAGAGTATCATATTTTGTGCTAAGTCTAAGTTATTTTCTATGAAGTTTAAGTCTTTGAATGTTAAATGTAAGTTATTTCATGTTAAGTCTAAGTCCTACCCTGTGAATTTTAATCATTTCCTGTGATGTTTAAGTCATTTTGTTTTAAGTCTAAGTCCCTGTGAATTTTAAGTCATTTCCTGTGAAGTTTAAGTCCTTTCATATTAAATCTGAGTCATTTTCTGCTATAGATATTACCTGTTAAGTTATGTTGTATGTTATAAAGTTATGATTTTTATGGAATGAAGTGGACAAAGAAGCAGCAAGAAAAAGCATCTCCATGATATTTTTTTATACACGATTTATTACTATCACAGTCTAAGAAACTACATCTCTCTTTAGCATTTCATCAAGCACTTTATAAGCAATCTTCAGATCACCACATATTATATACCTTTTTAAAAAACTACTCCAAGAAAATAAATCTCACTTATCCATTTCGATTAAAATAAAACTAGCAAGATTCAATTTACCACTAACAAGTCAAATCATTAATAATCTAATCATGAGTTTTGTTTGAGAGGAATTATGTAGGAGAGAGAAGACAAGGTCGTAGATTGTTTTGAGGAGGTGATGGTCTCATCCATCATGCGAGAGTGTAGAGGATGAGAGGGGTTGGTCAAGGGAGGAGAAGGTGGTGGTGAGCTCCGAGGAGATCTTGTCATCGTCATTAGAGGCGAGCTAGTTGAAGATGCGCTCAAGGTCAATGATGACGGAGGGGGAGGTGGGAGAGAGAGATGGCATGGTCAAAAGGTGTGCTTGAGATCCGTAATGATAGAGAGGGAGGTGGGAGAGGGATACGGTGGGACTGGAGGAGAAGAGGAGGAAGAAGGAGAGAGGAGGAAGGTTAGGTTTAGTTTAGGAGAGAGCAAGAATAGAGGAGGAGAGGAAGGAGGAGCAATCATGAAAGATAGGGTTAGGAGAGACGAAGGAGTAGAGGAAGAAGCAACAAGGTTACCTATGGCGCCGATAAGGAAGTAAGGGAGGAGGATTTAGGAAGAGAGTTTAGTTGGGAGGAGGAAGAGAGAGGAAAAATCTCACTTGGATCTGACCTTCATGATACACACACAAACCAAGGAGGGGTAATTTAGGGATTTGGAGAAAAAACAATATACACAATGTATATTGCTGAGTCGGAAGGACCAAATCATACTTTTTTTGGTGGGTTTTCACATGTAAAAGAAAGGTTAAAGGGACTGCTCACATGAGTTTCTTTAAGTTGGGGCCTCCTCACAATTTTCCCAAAAGACATAGATTTGAGAACCTGGGCCATATTGGGCCGAAGCCCAATTCCCGCGATCCGACCCAACAAAAACGCAACCGGCCCTTGCTAGTCGAAAAATGGCCTAGATCCTTGCTCCTCTTTCGCTCGCAGCGTCCGAAAAGAAAGAAATTGAGACGAAAAAGGTTTTTCTCTCTCTTTCTCTCGAGATTTGGGGGAAATTTTAGCAGTTGACGAGAGAGAGAGAGAGAGAGAGAGAGATGGGGAGAGAAGTAGCAGAGAGCTGCGTGGATATGGTGATGATGGAGATGGTGATCCTCTACTCCCAACGCCTCTACTCCTCGAAACCCGATCTCGCCGCTCGCCGCATCGAGTCCATCGGATTCCAGCTCGGCCACCAGCTCTCCGACCGGTATAATTCTTTCCTAATTTCATTATTTTTTTTCCTTTGTTGTTACCATTTATTATATGTTGGTGTTATTATTGTTTGGAATCTAAGCATGGGATCAAGGGCATCTGGGGTTTTGTTAGAATTGAATAGATAGTTGAGGGTACTGCTTTTCTTGTAGATTTTGTAGATTCAGTTTATGCCCTTGTATCTACTGCATATCGTTTCATTCTAGTAATTCAAGATTTTCTCTATTCCTAGACCCAGTTGTGTCTGGTTTCGGGTTTTGCGAGCTAATCCTTGTCAGTTGACTATGGAGTGTAGTTGTGCCAAATCTTTATTATCCATACATGCTGTGCGGTAGAACATTTGGGCCACAGTCCATTGGAATCATTGAAAAGGCGAATAGAGAATGCAAGTCGTAATTCATTGATTTTCTCGAATTTGATGCTTGTCTTTATTTCACTGGAGGAGAAGACACATATATTAAGAGAAGGGGTGCTATAGAATTAGCACAATTAATGATAACTATTCTCGTTGATCCTTTGCCACCAGTCGTAAATGAGCATAAACACTTATAACGTCTTCTCTCCTTGTGGTTACCTGTGTCTTATTCGTGAAAAGTCAGCGTTAAATCTATTTAAAATTTATAGTTCTAAAGTTGATATCCAACCCGACGAAAGGTAAAATGTATACAAGGTGAATATTATGGTATATAGAATTAGTCAACTCGTAGTTGCTTTTGCCTTGTATCTACAAGGGATTGGTATTGTCACTAACTATAAATCATTTGACACCCTGAGCAGAAGCGTGCACTCTGAAAAGAGAAAACACACTCTATCGGATCGTTTAAGAAAGTCATCTACAGTCTTTCCCCAAGTTTCTATTAGGCTGAGCTCCATAAAGGGAACTGATGCTTAGGGATGCATGGGGGCAATACCTATTATCGTTTCTTGTCCCCCGTTTTGTGGAAAAGGTAGATGTTTGTATTTGTTTAATCTAAACAGATGGGTTCTTGCAATGCTAGATGCAAGCTTAGAGAGGCTTGTTTTTTTTTTTTTTTTTTTTTTTTCGGGGGGGGGGGGATTGCGTATCCAATTGTTAATAAACATAGAAAATGCAATGGAAATAAGCACTAACATAATAAAAGAAGATAGCAAAGCAAATATTAAAACCAGTGTTGAAAATAACGAAAATGGCTTATATAATGCTTGACCACCTGTTAAGGGTTAAGGGAAAAAAACACATAAAAACGTAACACATGACATAGGTTACTAACTTTTTAGATAATTTATAAATACAAACAATTCGTAATAACTTTAATACTCGGATTCATCAGACTAGCTTTCTTAACTTAGCTAACTTAAAATCATTAGGCATCTTAACAGTAAAAAAATGGCATAGAAAGTGATTGCAAAAGTGCAAATTGCGTATTTAATTTCACAAAATTAAGCCTCATTAACTCCAGAAGATCAATAAAAAAAGACTGAAAAAGCTTAATTAATTCTGTAATAAATGTAAAGTTAAACTTTTACCTCAAATGAAGCCACAAGTGGGAGATGGAGGAGTTGCAAAGGGAAGAGCTGAGGATATGCAGAGGGAGGAGCGGAGAAATGGAGGTGAAGGAGGGAGAGCGGAGGAATAGTAGTGTTTTAGGGGTGGGCAGTTCAGTAGGATTTATCATTGCCGAGGCTAGAGGGAGAGAGAGGGGGAAATAGGGTTCATCGAGGTTAGAGGAGAGTTTGTCGGTGTTGTCATGGTTGGATGAGAGTTCGTCGGCATTCGTCGAGGCTGATTTTTTTCATCGTTGGTGTCATCAAGGCTAAAGGGAGAGAGGGGGAACTAGAGATTTGGGGAGGCGGTGAAGAGAGAGATTGAGAGTGCAGAATGTGAAAAGTGACCATCGGGTTTTTTTTGGGATAATGGACGGTGGATATTAATCCACACACCCAAATTTTCTTTACAATTTAACTTAAGTTACATTGCATTATATGGTTAAACGCGTTATTTTACGCTATTTTCCAAAAAAACTATTGCTAAGTGGTACATGCGTTATATATGCTTGTTAAGTAACATAAATCTCCCATTATGTTATAAGACGCATTATAACGCGTTACAAAACGCTTTTTTCCCAACATTGATCAAACCAACCAACTAGAACTCGCAAGAATTTTATGGTGGTTTCATATACAATCCTATATCCATTCTTGCTTCTCGCGAAGGGGCTTCCTCACTATGACAGAAGTTTTCTTGTATCACAAACCCAATTCAGTAGGCTTACAAGATCGAAACTCTAGTTTCTCTCAAACTAGTCGTCCAATCTAACTCTCATAGTGAGTAAACCTAGCGCTAGCTAGTAACTAAACCCTCAATCGGCATTGTCTTAAGTAAGCCGTCACAAACCAATCACGAGATTATAATAAAAGGATGTAGAACAAAACCAATATTGGTAAGCACTAGGGGTGGGAATGAATTGAATTTGATCAAATACTTATTCGGTTTATCCTAGCGAATTCGATTTCGTGTCGAATGGGTAGAAGGTGTTCAAATTCGATTTTATATATTAACTAACTATTCTCTAGATATTCACAAATATTTGCTAGCACACTTGGTTGAGACACTTGCTTCTTTAATCTGAGGTCATGTGTTCAAATCTTGTGTTGGTATATTATTTGTTTATTTTCTTTTTACATGTTGCATGATTACTTGATGATTATTATGATATCTTACTACTAAAATTATTAATTCATATATTTATAAATTATTAATTTATATATTTATTAATAGTAATATTAACGTAAAAATTAGTATAATGCAATAATGTAGAAGCAAAAATATATTTCATTATAGATTTAAGATCTACATAAATTCATTTTCTATCAAACTTTTTTAGCAACTTAAGAATATAATCTAAGCTAAATTTTGCATAATAATTTATTTCTATTTGACATTTTGTTGTGATATATGTCGTCATGTTCTAGGTTTTAAATTGCGGATATCGAGGAAATATCGGATGACCAAAATTCATATCGGATTGCGGATATCGGGAAAATATCGGGGATATGTGGTAAATATCGGAATGCCATAATGAATGTTTGCATACATAGTATAATGCATTAAAATGTAATCTCAACATATGTAATGAAATTTAAACATACAAAATATGAATAATATATGTTTAGGATCACTAATCAACCTTCTAAAACAAACAAAAGTGCAAAGCAACGTTGCAACATTCGATCTGCTTTTTTTAGGGCAAAATGTCATTTGATATAATGGAAAAATCTTGATATCTCGCCCAAAAATTCCAAACACGGTATATTATTTTGCAACAAGCTATATAAAAAGATATATTGGTCCACATATCGGCTAATATATCGGCCATATCGGAGATTTATCACTCAAAATAGCCAAAAATCGGTAAAGGATATTTAAAAACCATATCGGTTGCGGCAAGCCCTGTAAAATGATATATCGGGGGATATATCGGGGGATATATCGGGCCATGTCGGGGATATTTAAAACAATGGTCATGGTAAATATCTCAAGTGCAGGTTTAAATGACAAACATTCTATGATAAATTAGATTTAGAGGAGTAAAACGTAAATGACTATTTATTGATTAACCAAATCAAATAGACCTTTGGTTAAATTCTATTTGTTTATGAGCCTACTACTAAAAAAATTCATTTACAATTAAATGAACTATCGAGTTGAATATGACTAAATATCTAGACGAAAAATAGTCGAACAATTTATTAATTATTTGGTTCAAGTCTGCCCCTAGTAAGCACAAATAAGAACATTCTTACAGCCATTTCAACTTTCGCAAACTGTTATCCTTGATGATATAAGCGAAGCTCTGAGAAGAACAATGATGATGGTGAAGTCCAAAGTCAGCACTCCTCAAAGGTTAATGAACGGATGATGAACAACAACATTGAGGATGTAAATTGAGAAGCCTGAGCAAGAATCTGCACCATAGATAAAAACCCCTTTCTCTCTTTTCCTCTCTTTCTCTCTCTTTTTCTCTGTGAATTAGGTCAGGAATTGTTGATAAAAAACGAGAGAAAAGAGCCTATATAGCCTCAGCAGTGAATGGTTAAGACTGAATCCAAATTAAATTAGGATTTTGAAATCTGGCGGTCACTCATCAATGAGCTTAGCTCTAGGCTCATCGATGAGCACAATTCCTTATTGAGCACAAGTCCTTATTGATGAGTGGACTCTGTAATCTATTTTTGCTCTCTGTCGACCTCATTCTCATCGATGAGTTTGGCCCCTCATCGATGAATACAACCCTGATTTGTTGATTTTGTCTTATTTCTTGCTCTTTTTAGTTTGGAACTTGATTCCAACTTCTTGTAACCTATAAACAACATATAAAACATATATTAAACCTCAATATGAATGTTTGTTATTCAACAAACTAAGTTAATTATACGGACACGGTCCTAATATGAGTAACGTAAAATCTTCTTACTTTTTATTTAAACAGGGGGGTAAGGTTAAATTTTTTTACCCTACTCTTTTTACATGTTTACTCATTTATACAAAATAATAATATTAATATTATTTATAGCATATAGTATTAATGCCCGATAGACTAATCGATTCTTATTTAGAAATAACCGAGTAAATGAGGAACATGGACATCAGCAGTCAGTAGCTTGTGGATTTTATTCACTTTTTATTTTCTTTTGCATATATGTTACGGAATGCTTGCCGGGAAAAACGAATCCCGCCACCCCCCCCCTCCGCTTAGTATTGTTAACCATTCTACATGTTTGGTTTCTTTTTTATTTTTCTCTCTTTATTCTATTGAATAACGAAAATTCTTTTGTTATCCTATAGGTTAGGGTAATGGTAATTTATAAGTTCCCCCATTACGGTAAAAATAAATGATTTGGTTATAGGATAAGGTAAGGATAAGACCCTTGGCCTACCCATTACCATCACTAAGTATGCTATTCCTTAATCATTTTCCTAGCGAACGAAAGACTCCCTATGAGTTATGGGTGGAAAGAAAACTGAGTTATGTGTATGGTGGGGTTATCCTACAGAGTTGTAATTTGCTTTCCAAAGAAATTTGAATTGAAGATTGTAATTTGCTTTTTAATTGACTTTCCTATAAGGAGAAGGCTATCCCTTTGGGTAATGCTTGTTGTAAACAAGCGCGATAAAAGGTAAGAGGCACCTCTAGTTTTTTTTTTTAAACCAGTGACTACTGACTAGTGATGGGATTCAAATTGTCGCTAGTAGTTGATAGGTAGTATAAAAATTAGTATGTCTAGCACTGCTTTATCGGTTTGAGAGCCCACTTATAACATTAAAACTGTTGAAAGAAGACATGCTGAACTTTGGAGAACTCTGACAATATTAGAGGTCTAAAGGTCTAGAAGTTTCACTTTTTAAAGAAAACAAGCTTGTTATACTGTTGAAATTATCCAAGAAAGGTTTGAGAGCCCACTTATAGCGTTAAAACTGTTGAAAGCAGACATGCTGAACTTTGGAGAACTCTGACAATATTAGAGGTCTAAAGGTCTAGAAGTTTCACTTTTTAAAGAAAACAAGCTTGTTATACTGTTGAAACTATCCAAGAAAGGCTGTTATATATTGTGAATGGTGAAAGCACACACGTGAACATAACTGATCTGACTCACTATATTGAGGAATGACAACGCCAATAGTTGTATTCTTTTAGATGGATCTCTTCAGCAATTGCAAGAACAATGAAGGGTATTTGAATGAGTGTGATATGATATAAGCTTGCAAAGTGTTCCCAGTTTGCATGAGCTATCAATAAATTGTGAAAAACCAACTCGTTGGTTACATACTATAAGCGATGAGTTAAATTAATTGAAGGTAATAATGTATCGTTCCTTGTACAGTTGCAGAAGGAGCCAATCTTGTTGGTTGTAAACGGACATTATCCAAATGTTACTGGAAGGGACAAACTGGGAGAGATAAGGTCTAGTTTGTCGCCAAAGGATACACCCAAAGGAAGATAAAAATGATATTCTTCTCCTATTTTCGGAAAAGATAAATTTACAAGTATTCTTAGTACTCATTTTGACTTTTGCACAAAGTAAATATAGGAGCTATCTTCCTAAATGCTTGCAAGGGAAGTTTGTATGGTTGCTTCAACAATAGATACATAATTTTAAATTCAAGAGAATCGTATGCCTTCGATTGAAGCAGCAGAAAGAGGACTTATTTGTTGCATTTTTGTTACCACTTCCTCCATCTTCTGTCTCTTTTGGCTGTAATAGCTTGACCCACATCACAATGGGGTTGGACAATATAGATGATTTTTTGTTCCTTCTGCGACTCATTGTCATTGTAAGAAAACAAACACTTTTCAAGTATTTGTCCATCGTACAGAGATTATTCACCTTTGAAACAATAAGTTAAGATGACATTTTTTTTGGTTGGCAAATGACATTCTAATGCCATCGCTTTGTTGCTCACAAATATGTCAGCGAGATCGATTGTCATCAGTAACAGTTAAATAATTGCTCTATGTATCATCTGTGCTATGTATCATCTGTGCTTTATGTGCCACATTGAAAATGAGTTTTCCATACAATTCATATTATTGTAATGCAACCATCACAAACTGTCAGGACAATGTAACAGACCTTAATCAGAGTTACCTTGATATGTTACTCGTCTAACTGCATTAAGATTCTTAGTTGGCTTTATCGTAAATATTTTTTTGCCATGTGGTTGACCATCCAAATCAGAATGTGTGCATCAGAAGTGATTGATTGTGGATTTCTTCTCTAAACGGGTATCTTATATTGTCTTATATCCTAAGGATGATATTTTACCTTTATTAGTTTTACTGTGGCTTCTGTGCACTCTTAAGTTAATGGTCAAAAAAACCTTGCGCATGTCAAAAAACTAGTTTCATACTGCAACTTCGACCAAAAGCCCTTTTAGCATCACCTTTAGAGATGCTTTTTGTCAGCATTGACACAATTTAGATGTGCCAATGGCACCAGTTATGCATTTCCGGACTAGTCCACTAGTGCAACAATATATGCAAGAACAATGGTTAGTTTTTGTTATTTCATTCTTTTTTTTGGCCAGGTACACTATGGAAAGGCCTAGGTTTACTGACCATTTAGAGGCGATCAAATTCATCTGCAAGGATTTCTGGTTTGAGTTGTTCAAGAAACAGATCGACAACCTAAAGACTAACCACAGGGTAATCCCTGAAGGAAAATCTTCCCTTTTTCATGCTTTATGCTGTATAAGAAAATTTATGTTTGTCTTGTGCAGGGTACATTCGTGTTGCAAGATAACAGGTTTCGATGGCTCTCACACGTGTCTCCCAATCCTTCGCCAGAGAGCACAGATGACTCAGCTGAAAACAGTGCAGTTCAAGCCACAAACATGTACCTCTGCTTCCCATGTGGGATTATAAGAGGGGCTCTCACCAACTTAGGAATTCCTTGCGCAGTTTCTGCTGACATTCCTAGCCACCCTGCTTGTAAGTTTCCTATCCAATACTGATCGATCAATATTTTAGGGTTAATTTCAGTTAACCTCCCCTGAACTTTGGATGGTTGTGCCATAACCCTCTGAACTTTGTTTATTTTAGTCGAGGTTTCTCACTTTATCCTCTTGGACTTCAAAATTTTTCAACCAGATCTTCTTGACGCTGTTACTCGTTAATGAGGAAATGACCAATATGCCTTTTCTGAAAAGTAAGCCCCAATTTTCAGTCGCAATTAGAAAAAACCAACAAAAAGTGAGGGGCATTTTGGTCCTTCTTGGCATGTGAGCCGAGTTCACGTTAGTTTTCTTTTCGGTGTGTGGTGGTTTGTTTTGGTGACGGTGGGTTAATTTTCTTTTTCTTTTTATTTTATTTATTTATTTATTTATTTATTTTTTTTTTTTGGGGGGGGG